GGCCTCATTTCTATTACAAGTGACACTGGATCTGCATTGTTTAATTGCTACAATGATTTGCCCACTTCTGTTACAGTTGTAACAGAAGTGAGATCTAGAAATTAAAAACAAAAGACAAATAGAATACTAATGGAAATTAAAGGCAGAGGAATTGAGGCCAAAATCTCAGAACCAATGAAAAACCACAAAACCAACGAAGAGAGAAGATTGGAAATTGAACTTTGGACTTATAAAAGGTTGAAGGTGACACTTTGGTTAATTTAATGAATAAAATATGAGATGGGGTTATAGTGGATATAGTTCGGCTCGGATTGATTTTATTAACAAATTGAATTGAAAATATCCCAACTCCCACCAAACACATAGATAGAGATATGAGAGAGAGAGGGGGGGGGGGGGGGCTTAAGATCATTTTATGTTTTATTTTTCTTCTCTATCTCTGAGATATCTAAACATAATTTGGACTTTCCCTGATAACATTGCACCATGCATATCTCACTATGACCTAAGAGATTGATGTGATGAAAACTAAATATCCAACTAACATTGTTTTTGTTTGTGTTGTGTTAAAATTCAAGGTGCTTTGTAGCTTTTTGGGTAGATACTGAAATTAATTAATGTACCTGCAATTACATGTCAATACAATATGCCTGGTGTTGTAATTGTTGTAACTAGAACCAATCAATTGGCCAGCATTGCCTTAAATACTTCCCTTACACCATCTATCTATACTTGTATGACCATAGTGATACATGAATGAAAACACCATCTATCACTGTATAAACTAGACACCCCACTTATATTGGAGAGGCTTCTAGGCGAGGGTTGTTCACAAATCACAAGATGTTATAAACCAACCAACTTGACTCGAGATTGTCAGTTTTTTAAATAGTTCGATTGGTCTCTATTTAAAAGATGACAAAACCTGATGCCCCTATTTGGTTCCCGTTGTACTTTTTGTAACCTGATATAAAACTGACTATAACCGATATATACATGTATTTGCATTTATAAATTATATATATATATATATATATATATTATTGTTCTCTCTCTTTTTGTTTTATTGACAATAGCTTCTCTCCATATTTAGTATCTCATTCATCTCTCTCTAAATTGAAAGTAAAAGATGACTGATAAAAAGTAAATATAGGGATTGACAAAAAAAATAAAAGCCATGAAGCTACGAGATTGTTAGGACTGAATGCCAAATACTAAGAGACAACATCGTTATTCATCCTCTGATTCTTATGGAAAAATAGAAATGAAACAGTTTTTAAATATCGGGCTTTAACCTCGAACCCCGGAGGAGATTGCAGTGAAGGCTCTAACTAGGTTAGAGGAGTTTACTGAGGCCAATAACCTCCATACTGATCCAAGTTCTACCCCTAAAAGCTTTAAGCTGGATAAAATGGACACTGTTGAATCCAATGGAAGATGTGCCTTTGATGCCATAGCGAGAAATCATAAGGCTGTGTTTGGTTTGCACTGATACAAAACTATGGCAGTGCAAATGATTTGAATGTGAACTCTGGTCTATTTTTTCTTTCAAATTTTAACTTATTTTATTTGATTGCAGTACTAATAAAGTAAATTAAGACATGAAGCAGAATAAAGTCAAATCAAAAAATAAAATTAAATAAGAATTTTCATTTTTTTTTCATTTGCACTCCCATGCCTTAGTATTAGTGCAAATAAAATTGCACTGCAACCAAACACAGCCTAAGGGTCAAGTGTGAATGCAAAAATGGACAGCTTGGGTACAACCTCAATTGTGTTGGCTCTGCATTCGAGGCTGATAAGCTGGCCATGCAAATGGATTACTCGTAGATCATCATAGAAGGTGATTCTTGTTGGATTTTAATCTCATTAGACATTAAATCCAATGGGTTTGATTGGTCAATTACATTAGAATTTTCACTTGCACACATGTTTTGAAAAATAGTCATTCTCTTATTAAAATCAGTTTTTAACTTGTCCCACATTGGAAAATTACAAGTTTTGTTTTGGGTCTTTTAATAGGAGTTGATTTATACTCTTTAGAATAGAAGATGAGGGTATGGAGGCTTGCTACCACATTACGCACGCGCATGCATGTATGGCGCAATGAGGCGCACTTTGCTTGCGAAGGGCGACTTTGTCTTTTTGGTGCGATGCTGACCATTGATATGATCAACGACCACGATTCGATCGAGTGTGATCAAGAGGCACAATTCAAAGTTAGCAATCATTAACTGTTAACTACCTTTTAAATAGTCACAGTCATGGTTCAAAGTATGTATCGTATCTTTTGAAAACGATACGGTCCAATTTTTTTAATGGGCACAATTCAAAGTATGTTTCGAACCCCCAATTTTTTTAATAATAAAAAACAGGTTATAAGCTTTCCAAAAAGCCAAACTTTGAAAAAAAAACTAAAAAAAAATAGTTTCAGCCATTTCTAAGTGCCGATATGATAGGTCGAAAGTCGTATTGTATTGATATTTTGAACCTTAGTCACAATGTTTAAAATTGTGACTATTCATGTGTCATTCTTTGAACCAGCACCTTCCTCTTTTTTACAACTCTTCAGAAACTATTTAAGGAGCGTGAATCAAGCATTTTACAAAAAAAAAAAAAATTCAAAAATCACTTTCTCTCTCTCAGTCCAGTCTGCTACAGTCTCACAGAAAGTTTCTTTGAAGACTGTTCAACTTTACTGGTTGTAGATTCTCATCTAAGGCTCTGTTGTATCATAGGAACGGATTTGCCTGTAACCAATAGCAAACTTAGTGAAACTGAATGGGAGCAAATAACGTTCTAAAGATGGTGTCTTCAAACGCGCCTCAGAGCTTCTCCTCCAAGTTTTAGTGACCCCATTTCCCAACAATTCTCAACTCATAATCAAAATGCTTGTTGCTGCCTAAAATGGGCCGAGGGCTACAATGTAACTTTACTTCCGAGACGAGGGCTAGCTGAAGAGTCCAAGGGCTGGTGAAGCCGAGGGCCTATAAGTTTGACTTGCGAAAGAAGAAACACGTTAGAGGCCTCAGGTGTTATTTTAGGGGTGGAGACTCCGACAGTCAAGTTAGCAAGGGTGTAGCAAAGAGGATGGATGAGGCCTGAGTAGGATAACTCAGACGAGGTCACCAGGAAGCTGGAGAGCTAAGAGCAATAAATGCCAAGATAGGTTACCTAGGGAGTGACTCCACTTACTTGGAGTTAGTTACAAGCAGACGATTAGGATGCGATTTGCCTTGTGCTGCGCATTACCATCTGTGGATGTCACGTGTCCACGCACCATAGAGCCTGCCATGTGCGCCTACATCAATGCTGAAGGAGCAAATCAATCCCCCGTGGAAGTGCCTATCTCTTCCGAAGGATTCCAAAACCATTAACTGTGTTTGTAAAGATTTCCCTAGCTTTCCCTTCCAATCCTTACGTTTTTCCTTCAAACCAAACATAAGTGTTCTTCTATATCAGAGATCTCCTACAATCACACCCATCACAAAGGTAATGTGGCTGCATACTGGCTTGAACAAGGCAATGTGGAGCGCTTACCATCCCTGAGACCTGTTGCATGTGTTTAGTTCTTGACTCGGCTGGCAGGGCTCTCCCTCGCTAGCTATGATCTTAGATAAATTAAATAATTTTTTATTACTTTTACCCATATCCTTTTTATCTACCTTTTATTGGAGAGAAAAGTAAAATAAATAAATAACCATTAAAAAACCGAGTTATATGTATCTTTGTCCAAAACAGAGCATAATCTTGTAGGAGCCCGGGAAGCATAAAAGAAGAATGAAAATTATTTTTAGTTTAATTTAGTTTCTGAGAGAAAGTTTATTTTATTAATACTATTTAATAATATCCGATTACAATCCAATTCAATTCCATCCATTTGCAGCTCTGATAACGTATTAAGGCTCAATTTAAAAAGAGTATAAATATAAATATGCACAGTATAAATACATATAAAATACAAGATTTTGCACTCTATATATTTATATTTGTACTCCACCCGAGCTGAGCCTAACACTGAACCCAAACTGGGCAAGCTTATTAAGTATTGGTCTGAGACGGGTCTTAGCTCAACCAGTTTGTATGCAATCTTTATTTACCTATGAACAAATGAAAGAGAAATGAATCTTTATTTACCTATGAACAAATGAAAGAGGAATTCAGTTAATTGTTTTAAGACAGTTATTTCTCTGCAATTACAAGGAAAAAGATTATTTCCCTGTAATGACATGTTAAAGAAACAAGGAAAAAAATGATTTTCCATAGAATTCAACACTTTCCATCCAGAATATTGCCATAGGCATTAAAACACATTCTGAAGTTATAATCCAGTTCTCCCATGGACGTTTGAGAATGCCCAATTACAACCCTTCCTTTCCTCCTGCTTTTCAGCTGTATTTGCAGAGAAGTAGGTAAAATTTCTAGTTTGATGTATTTAGTTACGGTTCTTTCTTCTTTTTTTCCTTGCGAATACTTTCAGAAGAAAAGGAAAAAAAAAATAATTTTGTAGCAAAACAAGAACTTTGTTTTCTGGTAAGCACTTGAATAATAAAATAGTAGCTTCTATAAACCAATTACCAATAGGTATGGTCATGGCGAATTCAAGTTGTTGGTGCTCCTGCAACTCGATTCCATGAACATTATACACCATTAGTTGTCTGAAAAATAAAATGAACATTATACACCATTAAGCTCTGAAACAAAATACTTAAAATAGGTTAGTTTCTGTAGGAAAATTTCCCAGCTTTTTTTTGCCCCCTGATCTTACCAGTTTTGACTTTTTCAGCTCTGTACGTAGATCAGAAGTTAATATTATTGTGTACGTCTAATTTTCTGCAAGTCCCCACCAGTTTTAACGGTCTGGATTTTTGAATTGGTACACTTCTTTCATCCTGAAACTAATGAGGACCCACCTCTCATGATAGATCATAGCCGTATCGTATCGGAGAAGTATTTCGAATGAAGCTGTGTTTCTGTGTCTGAGACCGAGACAGAAGTGGAGCTCGGTGGCGAATTGGGCAATTGGCTATCGAACGAATGAAACACGTAGTACACGTTAAGGAACATAACCCAGCAGCGCACACTAGCACATTCGAGATGCTTTCCTGTTCACCGTCTGTCTCTTCAATTCGTCTCTTTCTCTCTCTCCTCTTCCTTTACTTCTTCTACTCTTGCTCATCATGCGCAGACGCACAGCGCCATGCGGTTTCACATGTTCTTTTTCCTGAAAGCTCTCCTTTTTCTTTCCTAAACAAGTTCAAGAATATCACATTCTATGTTCCGTCGGCAATTAAGGTTTTGGTTTTTAGGGTTGCTTTTGCAGAGGCCGCAACCCTAATTGATGGAGCACAAGCGACACTCGAAGAAGGAATTTGTCGTACTCTAATCTGTTTAACCTCGAGGTTAGTGATGGGTTTTTGGTATTCTCAAATGGGTTCTACTTGTTTTTTAATCCGAACAAGGTATTTATGGGGAGAGGGGGAGCTTTGTCTTTGGGGCGTGACGAGTTTGTGAAAAAGTAGGGTTTAATTTGTGGTTTACGTTATGTATTTCTATTCTTGGTTTTTTGTTTTTGGATTGCTGTATTGTGGTATTTGATGAACTTTCAATTTCCCCAACAAGATGATGATTTTGATAATTATGGGAATAGTAGTCAGAAAGAGACCAGAGGTAGCCAAGGTAGGCACTATTAATTCTAAAATGTTGTTTTTCTATTTTTTTTGTTCTATTTTGGATTTTCGTTCTGAGATTTTGAGTCACAATCAGAGTTGTTCATTTGGGTTCTAGGCCTGAAGACACATTCATAATTTGCAAATTCCTGCCTTTTCTTTCATCATTAGTACCCACCGTTGAGTAGACAATTTTAACTTATATGTACATTGTTGGTTTGAACAGGTAGAGGAACCATGAGGGACCATATGAATGGGAGTTTGTTAAAGAGATCCTCTGAGTTGGGACGAAGGAAGAAGAACAGGCGGGCAATTGAGGCTGAGGCTGGTTCAAATTCTTCAAGTAGGAGAGGCGCTGACCGCAGTGACGATGAGGAGGAAGACAGGGAGTACGGGAGACACATTTCAGAGGAGTGGTACCGATCAATGCTTGGGGAACACATTCAAAAGTACAGGAGGGGTAGGTTCAAAGACTCCTCTCGTCCAGCATCCATCCAAATGGGAATGCCAGTTCTGAAGCGTAATCTTGGTTTCAAGGGTCAGAAGTTGGGTGCTGAGGATAGAGTGCCGCATGGGATGGAAACCCCATCAGATTATCTTAATGACATTAATCCTCGTAAGACTGGAAGTTACTATGAACTCACATCAGAATATGGGACTGATAGGTTTTCTTCATCTGCTGATTCTGCTTATTTGGATCTTGGGGAAGGGATCGCTTATAGGATTCCTCCAACTTATGATATACTGGCAGCTTCCTTGAACTTGCCAAGCTTTTCAGACATTCAGGTGGAGGAGTATTACTTAAAGGGTACACTGGATTTGGGCTCCTTAGCTGTAATAGTAGCCTCTGATGGAAGATTTGGGCCTCAAAGGCGGGCAGGAATTGGTGAGCTGCAGCCCCAGTATGAATCACTTCAGGCAAGATTAAAAGCCTTACCTGCTTCTAATTCTGTCCAAAAGTTCAATCTTCAAGTATCTAATATTGGGTTGGATTCATCTTCCATCCCAGAGGGGGCAGTTGGAGGAATACAACGGTCAATTATGTCTGAGGCAGGTACCTTGCAGGTTTACTATGTGAAGGTTTTGGAGAAAGGAGACACATATGAGGTCAGTATTTGGCTTGAACTATAGCTATTTGGATCTTATTTCCTTTGTTGTTATTTTCTTATTCAGTTTTATCACTTTGGGGAATAGATCATTGAACGCAGCCTACCAAAGAAGCAAACAATGAAGAAAGATCCAACCATGATTGTGAAAGAAGAGTTCGAGAAGATTGGGAAGGTTTGGGTAAACATTGTGAGAAGAGACATACCAAAATATCACAAAATTTTCTCAAATTTCCACAGGAAGCAGCTAGCTGATGCCAAGAGGTGTTCTGAAACCTGTCAAAGAGAGGCATGTAGAGTTTTATTGGCACTCTATTTATAATTGTCACCAAAGTTGTTTATAATTTGTCTAGTGCTTGGAAAACCACTGACAGTTGATACTTGTTACCAGGTGAAATTGAAGGTGAGTAGGTCATTTAAACTGATGAGGGGAGCAACAAACCGAACTAGAAAACTGGCTAGAGATATGATGGTGTTCTGGAAAAGAGTGGATAAGGAGCAGGTGCAATTATTCTTCTTTGTGGAATTTCATAGGTCATGTTTTGACATAATGTGTTTTTGGTTCAGCATGGTTACTGTATGGATTCTCTCCCAAGAACAAGAATCACAAGACAAAAAAATGTTTAATAATTAATAGTAATGGTCAATATATGTGTATATGCATATTGGACCTTAATGTAATCATCTTTCTTAGACCCTAAATCTTTATAGATTAGGGAGCTCTGTGCACTTGGAGGCTCAAGATCTAAATTTGAAGTACAATACCACATTTATCTCAAGGTGCATTTAGTGTGCTACTAGGAAGTGTTACCAATACTTGGAAACGGGCTTAGCTGGTTGAGACTCCAAAAAGTTTTAAGATGCCAACTTGTTAAATTGGTAAGATCTGGGTCCTACTACGGGCTTATTTCAACATTTGGGTCACATCATCCTCTTGAGTGCTAGATACTGAGTCATATGCACAGTTGACTTCATCAATCTGAACCATTTAATGGCTGAGCTGCATTTCTACTGACAAAGTCTAAAATCTGGAATACCCCCATTTGATCTTTACCAAGCAGGCTTGGCATCTGATTACTAGGCTGTTTAGGGGCACTAAACAGATGTGACATGTTAATTAGATAATCTGGCTTTGAGTTGGTATTATAAATTATAATTTCAACATTCAACATGTTGTAAAGTAGTTTGGTAATCTTAAATGACTCATTGTTCTGTTGCTTATGTGCCTATACTAGCATGGAATAAAAGGTATCTAGAGAATTAATAATGCAGTAAAACCTTATAAATTTGTGAACAGGGGGGGGGGGGGTGATTTGATTTTTATAATCTCTTTATGTCTAGAGGTAACAGCATCTGCAAAAGTTTATTTTTGAAAAACTAAAACTCTCTCGTTTGGACAGAGTAATAGGCAGAGAGGTTGGTTGCTAACTAAACTCTGATGCATTTCACAGGCCTCCTGTATTTGTACATAAATATATTTGCAAACAAGAAAATAAATGATTGTTTTGTTTTGAATATCTTATTTCCTCTCTGTCATCTGTTTGATATAAATAATTTATACATGGAATTCTTTGGGGTTTTAAATAAGAATATGTAAGATAATAAAGAACTTGATTGGAATAATTTGATAAGGTGCATTACACTTTCCCTGCCATTTGCTTGCAGGCAGAACTGAGGAAGAAGGAGGAAAGAGAAGCTGCAGAAGCTTTGAAACGTGAAGAGGAGCTCCGTGAAGCAAAGAGACAACAGCAGAGATTCAATTTCTTATTGTCACAAACAGAGCTGTATAGTCATTTCATGCAAAATAAGTCAATTTCACACCCATCAGAAGCTTTACCCATGGGTGATGGAGAATTGAATGACCAAGAAGCAGCTTTGGGCTCTGCAGAAATTAAACTTGGAGAGGAAGAAGATCCTGAGGAGGCTGAATTAAAAAAGGAGGCACTTAGAGCCGCTCAACAAGCAGTCTTCCAGCAGAGAAAAATAACAAGTGCATTTGACAGTGAATGTCTAAAGCTGCGCCAAGCAGCTGATATTGAAGGCCCTCCAAAGGATACCTCAATTTCAGGATCTAGCAATATAGATCTCCTTCATCCGTGAGTGTCTTTTCTCTTGCTAATAATAAATTTTCCCCAAATTGGCCTGATTATGACTTTAAAATTTACTATCCATCCTCTCAGCTCAACTATGCCTGTTATGTCATTGGTGCAAACACCAGAAATGTTTAAAGGTTGCCTTAAAGAATATCAGCTAAAGGGCCTGCAGTGGCTTGTTAATTGTTATGAGCAGGTTGTAGGTGATTTCTAAATAAACTTTCTTTTCATCTACCTTACATGGTTTTTGGTTTTAACTTTGGAATTTCTCTTTTTGTGCTTCAGGGTTTGAATGGTATACTTGCTGATGAGATGGGTTTGGGAAAGACCATCCAAGCCATGGCATTCTTGGGTCATTTAGCTGAGGTAGTTGATACTTCATTAAATAGTGTTTGCTTGATTATTGTGATCCTTTGCTTATCCAAAAAAGGGGAAAAATTGCTCTTTTGTATTTACCTGGAAATTCTGTTCTGTATAGGAGAAAAACATATGGGGACCATTTCTTGTTGTTGCACCTGCTTCTGTCTTGAACAATTGGGCCGATGAAATTAGTCGTTTCTGTCCTGACTTGAAAGCACTTCCATACTGGGGTGGAATTAATGAAAGGGTGATTCTGAGGAAAAACATCAACCCAAAGCATCTGTATAGAAGGTAATTTTCTGCCTGAGCAATGTTCTTTTCACCTTCTTTCTGGATAACCACATGATTTTCATATTTGGAACAAAATTTGAAGATATAGAAAAGGCTTTCCTGGATGTATTTTTAGGGAAAAAGTAAGTTATTTATTAGAAGAAGCAGGAGATGTGCCTGTGAATGTATAGAAAATATGCCCCTATACGGTTATACAATTTATGCTGTACAACAAGGATGCTTTCAGTTCCAAAGTTGGGAGGCTTTTCAGAACATTGGCTCCTGATACACCGTACCTTTTCTTGTGGAAAATATATTTATTGTTATTTCATCTTTTCTCTTATTTTTCCCTATAGGGAGTCCACATTCCACGTATTGATTACCAGCTACCAACTGCTGGTATCCGACGAGAAGTATTTCCGGCGTGTGAAATGGCAATATATGGTTTTAGACGAAGCCCAGGCTATTAAAAGTTCAAACAGGTTTAACTTCATCTTCCAGATTGATGTGCTTCTGATTATTTTAATTTCATAACCTTTCTATAGTGCATTAGCAGATAAATTTCACCTGATTGTCTTGGTGCAGGATTTGTTTCTTTTTTGTTGATACTTAAAATTTAATCAGGTTCTTATTATTATCTAAATATGAGTTTTATTTAGCTCTATGTGTTAGTATGCACAGTAAACTTATTACATGTTAATGAGCAAATTATTCACAGGTAAGAATTAGTTAGGTTCCAATCTAGTAAGTACGTCCAATCACAATCATCAATTCTTTGCCATTATATGCATTAAATATAACCCTTACTCCATGATTTCCTATGTTCTTGATGGTTGTGATGAATATATTGGTTTTGCAGTATAAGGTGGAAGACATTGCTCAGTTTCAATTGTAGAAATCGCTTGCTTCTGACTGGTACACCCATACAGAATAACATGGCGGAACTGTGGTCCCTTCTTCATTTTATAATGCCTACCTTATTTGACAGCCATGAGCAGTTCAACGAGTGGTTTTCAAAAGGGTATATTGTCTGTTGCCAGTTTGTTTTTTAATCCTTTAATTCTTGTAAGCATTATAACTGTCAAGGTTCCATTACTCATTCTTTGTCCTTGTATATTATCAGCATTGAAAATCATGCAGAACATGGAGGAACCTTGAACGAACACCAACTCAACAGACTGGTGAGTGGAGGTTTTCAGTTCTGATAATTTCACTGAGAATATTGCTTGAGAAGTTGAATGACTCAATATCAAGGGATAATATCACATGCCTAAAAGATCCTTTTTTACCTGGGGTATTGGTTAAGTTACCTTATGCAATTGATTCCTGCCTGATTTGTTGCTTCTTATTCTTTTGACAGCATGCAGTTCTTAAGCCCTTTATGTTGCGGCGAGTAAAAAAAGATGTGATAACAGAGATGACTGGAAAAACAGAGATCACAGTGCATTGTAAGTTGAGTTCTAGACAGCAAGCATTTTATCAAGCTATAAAGAATAAGATATCTCTTGCTGAGTTGTTTGACGGAAGCCGAGGGCATCTCAATGAAAAGAAAATTCTCAATCTGATGAATATTGTTATCCAGCTGAGGAAGGTACCTTGGTCTTGCTCTGGCTTCCTATCTGTTCTTTTAGTAGATATTTGCACAAAAGAGTGGCTTTCCTTTGTTGTCAATCTGTCTGTAATGTTCCCTTCCATGTTGAATACAAACAGTGTTTTTTTTTTTTTTTTTTTAATTTATGTATGTTCTGGTAGGTGTGCAACCACCCAGAGTTGTTTGAAAGGAATGAGGGGACCACATACCTGTACTTTGGTATGATCCCAAATTCTCTTCTGCCTCCTCCCTTTGGGGAATTGGAGGACATACATTATGCAGGGGGTTGGAATCCAATAACATATAAGGTACTTCCTTCAAGTTGTCCTTTGTGACCATTGCATATGGATATTCTTTCATACTTCCTGAGTTGATCATGGTGGACCATTTTTTTTTTCTTTAGGTTCCGAAGTTGGTTCACCAAGAAACAATTGAAAGTTCTGAAATGCCTTGTTCAATCTTCGGTCATGGTGTTCAACAAGAACTATTTCAGAAGCTTTTCAATATATTCTCTCCAGAGAATGTTTATCAGTCTGTGCTCCCACAAGATAAAATATCAGATGAGTCTTATCCTCTTAAAAGCGGAACATTTGGTTTTACGCACTTGATGGGTTTGTCACCAGGGGAGGTTGTTTTTCTTGCAAAAGGTTCCTTCATGGAAAGGCTGTTATATTCCATTATGGTTTGGAACAGACAGTTTTTAGATGAAATCTTGGATTTCATGGAATCTGAGGCTGATGATTCTGAATATGGTCACCTTGAGAGGGGGACAGTGAGAGCTGTTACAAGGATGTTACTGATGCCATCTAGATGTAAGTCTAGTTTGCTTAGAAGGAAGATTGCAACTGGTCCTGGCCATGCCCCATATGAAGCCTTAATTGTCTGTCATCAGGACAGGCTTGTATTCAATACCGGGCTCCTTCATTCAACATATGTTTTCATCCCACGAGTCAGAGCTCCCCCTGTAAGCTTGATTTATTTTTTCATTTACTGCAGGAACAGATTGATCATCAACTATCTTTATGACTCATACTTCTCTTCTTGACAGATTAATGTTCACTGCTCCAATAGAAACTTTGCATACAAAATGGTAGAAGAACTACACCACCCATGGGTTAAGAGGCTTTTCTTTGGTTTTGCACGTACATCAGAGTGTAATGGACCTAGAATGCCCAATGGTCCTCCTCATCATTTGATACAAGTAATTGATTCTGAAGTACCTGTTGAACAACCTATTCTTCAGCTCACATACAAAATATTTGGATCTTCTCCTCCTATGCGAAGCTTTGACTCTGCAAAGATGCTTACAGTAAAGCTATTTCCTCTTTTCTATTGCCAGCTTGTCTTGTTTTTTATATATGAAAGCTTTGTTTTATTAAGATTGTGGCTTTACCTCTATTCAGGATTCTGGGAAACTTCAAACACTGGATATTTTATTGAAGCGCCTGCGAGCTGAGAATCATCGTGTGCTGTTGTTTGCACAAATGACAAAGATGTTGAATATTCTTGAGGTATTTGTAGTTTTTTTCTATTTTCCTAGTCATGTTGTGGCACTACAAACTATAGAATTGGCCTCAATCTGGCCAAGTCACTGTCACATCCATTATCAACTTTACCTTGAGTTGCACTCATGCATGTACTGCTAGTGACACTTGACACAGTTGAATCATTGAACCTTTTTTTATCACCGTTTTTAGTCCTTTTTATTTTTGTGTTTCCTCTCCTCATGAGGGGGACCGTAGAGGCCATGGTAAGCATAGTTGGTTAAAGCTGTGTGAGTATCTCATCTAGAAATGGATAACCTGTCTTTGCATTACTGATTGGGTAGGTCAAGGTAAGCAACTTGCTAATAATAACTACCGTACCATGGTCGATCAACTTTTACCTGAAATAGAATTTTGTCCACAATAATGATAGCTAAAGTGACTGATAAATTCCCTGAGAAATATTTGTTTGATATGAATACATAAAAAATGGGGAGTCCATGACATGTTTGAAGTTTGGAAGTTCAACATTCATGGTCGTGTTAACCAGGAGCATGTAGTTAGACATGATTATGTTATTTCTTAGTAAAATAGCTTTTGATTATGGTGACTCAATCATCAGGATAAGGCAATCCAGGTAAGTTGGGATGGAGAGAGGGAAGGTGTTAGGCACCCCTCTCCCTTGTTAGTGCGAATGCCGCTTCCTCTGAGTCGAAATGCCATGCGAGCAGGCAACAGACCTCTTAACAAAAGATTTGACAGTGAGGAAAAGGTCCTAAATGGCATAAGAAAAACATGTACTGCTACATTCAGTAATGGTTTACTCGGCTTCTAGCCACTGTTTTTCCTTTTTTTTTTTTCATAAGATTTATGTCTTAAAATTCAACTGCAGAAGCTAATTGAACTCAGGGTACCATTTTCTCTCCTCACCTATTTCTAATTGTTCGCGTTGGAAGCCAATGAGTGTGCAATACTGGGGGTTCCCCCCTTCATGCTTCTCTTGGCACCAGAACATCTACCGTTCAATGTCTTAAGAAAGGGGAGGGCAGAGAATGGGGTGAGTTCGGATTCCAGAATTACAGGCTCGGGAGTTCATTGAGACCAGGGCTCCATTCTCCTTCATACTGAGCTTCAGTGAATGGGGTGGTACTGGTAATTTCCCGTCACACCTTTCCTGAAGTCAATAGCCTACTTGGGGAGAACGGGAACCTTGGTGTCTATTGCCCCAAACCATCCTGGCAATTCATTTCAGGCGATAACAGGAAAAATAAAATAAAGAGAAATGAAAGAGAACGAATGGAGCTTACCTTTGTGCATAGAGGATTCACAGAAAGTGCTTCACCCAAGAGATTTCAGAAGGACAACGCCGTGAATACCACCAAAGGTTTCGAAAGGAACTTTTGATTTTTCAGAAGAACCCCGCCGTGAACACTAAGGGTTTCGAAAGGAACTCTGAACTTCTCTTGAGACGCCAGACTTGGGAGCTTCTAGCACACCAGAATCCGAGCGCCAGAGATCGTGAGCAGTGTTGGTTAAAGGTGGAAGAGCCGCAACTGGAGTGGTCGAATCTGGTTAACGGCGACCACCCTTCTCTGCAACACCGAGCTCTTTCTCCCTTGCCATTTCTGGGAAGAACGAAGAAGAGAGAGGCCCGAAATAGAAAACTCTCTCCTTTCCTTTTTTTGGGTAAAAAGGAAAGGATTTTAAAATAAAAAAAAAATTAGATTCAGCTGATGTGGCAAGAAAATTTGAATGAGGGGGAGGGCCTGTTTTCTAGGCTGATTTCATGCCTTGGGTCCCTCCCACCATCCTCTATTTATAGGGTTCAAGCAGGGGTAGTTTAGGCATTTTTTATGCTTGTAGGGGTAGAAAGGTCCAAAAGAAGAGAATTTCTGGGTATGAAGGGTATTCCAGGTATTTTGAGAGTTTTCAGGGGTAAGATAGTCCGAAAGTGTGGGTTTGAGGGTATTCTAGGAAGGTGTTGTGAGGCCATTTTGGGTATTTTGAGGGTTTTCAGAGGTAAGAAGGTCCAAAATGTGTAAGTTTGGGGGTATTTTGGGAAGAAAGGTGTGGGGGTATTTTGATGGTTTGTAGGGGTAAAAAGGTCAAAATGAGGTAAATTTGGGGGTGATTCTGGGAAGGAAGATGTGTGAAGGGTGTGCTGGTTATTTTGAAGTTTTGGAGGGGGTTCGAACACAAGCTGTAACAAGGGAATATTCCGATCCAAGGGTAAGCAGCTTTTGAGTGGTAAGGATTTACTTAAGGAGGATTGTTGTGTTGATGCTATATCATGAGAGGGTTGTGCAAACAAATGACAACTTGCGAAATAGAATCTTGCTTGGTTTGAAGGCTAGGAATGGAGTTTTTATGTGAAATTTGGTGGGGTGAGGTTTTCAAGGGTTCCAAACTCGTTAGTGGGGTCAAATGGGTCTGAAGAGGTCTGCATCTAGGGGATTTACGAGATCCTGGTTCTTGAACAATGAAGACAGCTAAGAAGGAATTTTGCTTTGATCAAGGGTTAAATGGCGGAGCATTGAGATGAAACTTGACAGGCGAGGGTTTTAGCATACATGGAGTCCCTAGGGGGTGTCGGATTAGTCGTGCAAGGTGTCTAAAAGAGGATTTGCAAGAGGGGGCAAGTGTCCACTTTTTGGGTGCTGACAGTAATGGACGTAATTTACTTGAGAGTTCAATGTGGACATGTCCTGCAAAAATAGCTAATGGTGTTTTTACATCTGGGAGTTAATTATGTGGCTTGATTCCCTATTTACCTATGTCAGCTTTGCTAGTCTTTTTATAAATGGCTTAGGTTGGTGGATAAGGGTTACATTTTTTAACCAACAAGCCTAAAGAGTACTTCGGTGGGAGAGGAAGTGATGCTTTATGGTTTGTATACTGGGAATATGTTAGTTTCCTGGGACAATTGTATTGTGTGACCACTTTTCTTTCACAAGGTCTATGCTCTAACTCAGTCCAAGAACCCCTTAATGCTCCACTGCCTTTGGCTGTTTGGCATGCCCAAAGCCTGAAGAAAATGGTCTGCCCCCTATAGATAATGTGGTGGCTAGGGCTGTGGCTACTTTGCATTCTTGGTTATCTGCCAACAATCTGTTCAAAGACATCCTACATCATCAGTTTTTTGAGATAGCACTCTGTTTAATTAATGCCACAGTCTGATTTTTTGTATTTAGTTGGGAGAGCCAAGATTTTTTGGGTGGCTTCCCTTCATAGTTTCTGGCTGTACATGGAGCATACTTGACACTTGTACTTTTTGTCAAGTTCAATACAATACCTTCTTCTCAAAAAAAAAAAAAAAAAAAAAAACAAATAGTTCCATTCTCATTTCTTAAGCCTGCCTCTGTTTTCCTGGAGTTTGTTTTGGTGTTAATGTCATATATTTATTTGCAGGATTATATGAATTATAGGAAATACCGGTATCTTCGACTTGATGGTTCTTCCACTATCATGGATCGTCGAGACATGGTCAGAGATTTCCAACATCGGTGGGTATTGTTACTCTGAACCCTTTTTTCGTCTTTTTTTTTTTCTCAACAAGTGTCAAAGCATACAAATTTGAGATGACCAAAAGTGACTTCTCTATTGCTGTAGGAGTGACATTTTTGTATTCCTATTAAGTACCAGAGCTGGTGGATTGGGTATTAACTTGACAGCTGCTGACACCGTAATCTTCTATGAAAGTGATTGGAATCCTACTCTGGATCTACAAGCAATGGATAGAGCCCATCGTCTAGGTCAAACCAAGGAGGTTAGTCAATCTTTCTTTTGTCATACCTTGGATCTAACAGGACAGTCTTATTTGCTTGATGGTTCACCCATCTTTCATTCATCATTTGCTTATGTTCCTTGTCATTTCACTACTCACTACTTCTATGGAGCAACCTTGTGATGTTGACAACTACTTCAGTACTTGTGGACTTCAAGAGGCCCCACCTCCAGTGCATGAAACTTAAAAATAAATCATTTGAAAGTGGACGAGATTGTCTAGTTCTGTTGTATTGGTGGGTCTTGATTGTACACAAACAGTTTTTGTAGTTCCCCTTGGTTTAGGGGTTTGTCAGTTTGTCAAATATAGGTTGGCCTGATTGGTCATAGATAACATATTATTAAAGAACTATGAAAGACCGTGGGAATTTTCGTAACAAAATTTGACTTTTAGGCTCCCACCAATGTGGGGTCTGGGGAGGGACAGGTGTACGCCGCCTTACCCCTGCACATACAGAGAAGCTGTTTCCAAGATTTGAACCCTGGTTGGCTGACACTTTAGCTAAGCAAGGAGTTACTAGGGAGGTTTTGTTTTGGGCTTGTTTGTAAGGTTTTTGTTCTGATGTTTCCACCCATCCTGTTGGTTGTAAATTTGTAATTTTATTTAAAATCATCAATGAAAGTTACCATTTCCTATAAAAAAAAAAAATTGAACCCCGGTCACCCAGGTTGCAATGGAGCAACTCAACTGCATCCATGATATAAGCATATTACATGGGATACCTGCACCTGTATCCATCCATTAATCCATGTTCAGGTTTGTCAGTGGTGAGTCTTATCTCTGTTTACCATATCTGTGCCCTTTTCCACATCTGTGTCTGGGCATCATAGCCAACCAAGAAATTTGACTTAGTTGTTAGAACGTAGTTCTTCTCTCTAAATTATCAGCTTTCAATTGGGTGAGAAAAATAAAATTATTTGCTCCATAAATAATTAATAATAAAGTAATGCATGTACAATGTTCTACTGGAGTAAACCTCTTCTTTCTCATCTTGTTTGTAAATTTTTTAATCCTTTAAATGAGTTCAAACAAAAACCCTAAAACCTTAAAATATATGCTGCTCATATTTGCTGTTGGTATTTCTAGTATTTATTCTATGTATGTGCATGTATTTACATATTTTTGGGTTTCTTTCATGTGTATGGAGTTTTTAGATGACTACTTTCTACAACTGAAGAGGATATATTATCCTATGCAGGTCACTGTGTATAGGTTGATTTGTAAGGAGACGGTTGAAGAGAAGATTCTGCAAAGAGCAAGTCAGAAAAATGCTGTGCAACAGTTGGTTATGACTGGTGGCCATGTTCAAGGTGACCTGTTGACACCTGAAGATGTTGTTTCTTTACTTCTTGATGATGCTCAGTTGGAGCGAAAATTGAGAGAGGCTCCAGCACAGGTAGGATCTAAATTGTCACTTCTTAACTTTTAAACTTAGTTTTGTTGTTTAATTGTATTCTATTAAATCCACTTTGATTATTCCTATTTAGCATGTTTTTCCATTATCTTTTCTGAGCTATAGGTAGGGGCCCCAGTTGCAATTCAGAGAATTTAAACTTCATAAGATCATTCCATTTTAGTTGTGTTTGTTCCATTAGGGTAAGGATCTGCAGAAGAAATGTGGAACTAAGGCCATACATCTAGATGCAGAAGGGGATGCATCTTTGGAAGATTTCACAAACATTGGATCACAGAGTGCTGGATGTGGACCCACTTTGGATCTAGAGGGTGTCAAGACTAGTAATAAAAAGGTATGTTCAATTAAACCTTAGTACCTTACTTCAAAATAAATAAGTGAATAAGGAAAGACTGACTGTATGCCAAGGTCATGGACCTGGTGGTAAATTGATACAATACCAAGTGCCAAACTCTGAGTTTGATGATCTAGATGTTCCTTATCATCCCATGAGCTACTACCATGGCTATGACATCATCTATTTACATGCACATTTTTCTTTTGGGTTGGCATGCTTATTAGTATCATCTATTTGTGAGATACCACCTTGGCTATGACATCATGTTCTCTGAATTCCCGTTACCTTTTTGCATGGTAACTCCGGACCAATCCTTGTTTCTTTGACTACCATGGTTCTTGGTTGAAAATTATCATTTGGTCTCTTCGTTCTTTTGTGTTTCATACATCCAATACGTGGTGGGTCATTCTGACCATCCAAGTTTTACTTACGTCTCTTTGTATCATAAATCTACACCAAGCATGTGATGCGACTGTACATCATTAATAGCAACATTTCCTTCACACAAGCACATTATCGAATATCAATATGGTTTGAATTATATTAGAATCCTTAATTGATGCCATATTCCTACATGTATTGTGCATGAGTGCATCCATGATAGATGGAATGTCCAAGGGAGGTAGAGACTTTTAAATGTCCACAGAAACAATTTCTAAGCAGATTCCCATACCTTGCTGAAAATATTGGTTGGTTGTTTCACCTATGACTACCATATTTGCCATGTTTATTTAAATTATTGTGTAATGTCACAAAAATAAGCAAATCACATCTTAAAGAAAAATTGGATTTTAGCTACCTATTAAATTGCAGATCTCAGCTTTATTTACACTAAAATGCTTTGTTTGCAGAGAAAAGACAGCTTGGACAAGCATGCTCCCCCAAAAGCACGGAGGGCTCCCAAGAACAGTGATTCTCATACAGAGATTAATGAACCCAACTCATTGGACTATGAGTGGGATGATCCCGTCAGGGCCACAAGCTTGCAAAATCAGAATCTCAGAAGGCCAAAGAGACCCAAGAAAAGCGTAAATGATAACCTTGAACATACAACAGCAACAACTGTAGCTCCTGAACCCACCGAGTACCCCACTTTATATGATTATAGTCCTGCTGGTTTTATAGGAGAGGATGAAGAAATCTCACCTCCTAGCTAGTCTCCAACCTGATAGAAGTTGGGAAGAGAAGGAAAAATGAAACCCAAAATTATGGACATATATTGTCCAGATGTTGGGCTTCTCTGTTTGAATTTACAGAGATTGCATTTGGCTGTGATCATCACAAGGAAACAAAGGCAAGCAATCAGAGCGCACACCCTGTACAATAATTTGTGCATATTATTTTGACCTCATCAAGATGCAAGATTTTTCTGATTATACACGGTTTTGGTGCTCCCATAAGCATGTACAGGTGGGATATCAATTCTTACCAACCTCCCCCCCCCCCNCCCCCCCCATCAAGGCAAGCAAACCCAGAAGCATGTACCGTGTAAAATCGATTTCTCATTATGAAATAGCTGTAGCAATGGCAATCTGGAAATTCATGCATTTAGCAAATTCCAGCGCTATTGGAGAACGTTCTAATTGGTTAATTGTATTGCAAGGAGCTTGATATATTAATATATTATGTTTCATTTTAAATACAAACAACCTCAAGGGTTAGTGCATGAAACATAAGATCTACACGAAGTCACGAATTGCTTCCAGAAGATAACCCAGAAATCGACTTAATGAGCTTGGTCCTATGTGACTTTCCAATCTTCAACTCAGTCCAACCCAACCCTCTTTTAGGTTGGGTTCGAATGCTGTCAGGGTAGCACAGCTCAAGTTGCCAAACTCCAGAAGTTGGGCAAAATTGATCTGTCAGACAGATTTTAAGAACTCACCTCCCAATTAGATTTAGTATTTATTGCCACCCAGACAGTTTGAAAAAGCCTTCTGACCCCAGGGGTCAGTTTATACAGTTGACAATTGGTGCAAAGGCAGGTACTGACTGAAAACAAAAGCTAGGTAATCAAAAGCATGTCCATTGTCCACATAAAGTTGGATCAACAGTTGGTGCAAACTGCGAAGTAATATTTCCATCAACACTTGGGGGCCAAAGATCCATGCCCACCCATTAATGCCAAATATAGACGCCAGTGATGTATCAAGCTGCTGAAATTTTTCAATAAAAGTTTTGAAAATTCCTTTGACTATATAGCCATATATTTGCCAATTCTTCCACTTCCCTAGTGTGGCATTTAAATAAAACTGAGCACCTAGTTACAAAATGCATTAGTCCATGAGAACTCTAAAAATCCTTGTATAAAACCACTTCCCCAGAAAGCTCATTTATGCCACAGGCATATTTAGTTCGATATGTCCCAAGAAAATGCTTTAACACAACTTTTCATGAACCAAACCAGATATCAGAGAGGGTCTTCAATCTTTGACTTGGAGTTTTAAGAACCTTCAAAACCCGATTTCTAAGACCTGACTTGTTTTTATTTAATATGTGGCCTTGTTTTTATTTGATCTTCCTGGTAAAACCTGACTTGGAGTTTTTATTCCAATAGATCATGTTTTACTTTGAGGATTCTCCTGCCTTCCTCAAGATAAAGGTACCTATTTCTGTGTCATATAAAGAAATCATGTAGCAAATCCAGGCAATCAGGCTCTTTGGATGTTATTTTCCTCACTTCCAGGCCACACCAACTTCACAAACCATCTCATATTGGACTTCTCCTCATGAAATGATGATATTGGCTGTTCAAACTTTCTCTTTTTAGAAAAAAAACGTGGAAAAGTTTGTCTTGGCCAAAATTCACCACCTAATTTCGGATGCCTACTCATTATGTGATGCATCCCCTGAATCAGTAACTCATTTACTGCTACATCATTGCCCCTTCTCTAGTGAGGTAGTGGCCGCATGTCATCAAGCTGTTCAATTGGGATTTAGAAGTGACCACAAACCCATTAGACTTCAAATAGTATTTCCATTGTGTAATGATATATTTGCTGGAAAACAAAATAAAGATAAGAGCATGCATATTAAATCAGATTAAACTTAGACCAGGAATTTTGAAGGCATTCCTCTCATCCATCAATCTCCTGACCCTCTCGGCATCCTCGTATCTTCCAACACTAGAAAATATGTTAGATAATAACACATAGTCCCCCCCATAGCCTCTCTCCATCTCTAATATCTTTCTCATCACTCTCTCACCCATATCCACATTCCCATGAAAACTACAAGCACCCAAAAGAATCCTCCAAACCACCACATTGATAACATCTTTGGGCACCTTCAAAACCATCTTCTCTGCTTCATCTAACCTCCCTGCCCTCCCCAACATGTCTATTAAGCACCCATAGTGCTTGATATCAGGAACAACTCCATACTCACTAACCATTTTGTAGAAAAACTTGAGCCCTTCATTTACCAATCCTCCATGGCTGCATGCATTCAAAACACCCAAGAAAGTGATCCGGTTTGGACGCAAACCTATCTTCTCCATCTCCTCAAACCATTTCACTGCTTCTTCTGCCATCCCATGCATTGCAAACACAGAAATGATTGATGTCCAAGATACTAAACTTCTTCGTTCAGTTGAGACCTCCTCAAACACTCTGAATGCACTCTCTATACACCCACACTTTGCATATGCATCTATAAGTGAATTTGTAATGCGAATTTCAGATGCCATGAACCCATTTTTCTCACTGTAAGCATGAATTGATTGACAAAATTCAAGTAACCCGAGATTTGAAATTGCAGGGAAGATTGCTAAGATTGTTATTTCATTTGGTTTTATTCCATCTTCTACCAGCATTTTGCAAAAATAAATGAGAGATTCCAGGGGCCTGTTCATCCGGGTATACCCATCAATCATAACAGTCCATGAGACAACTGTTCGGTTTGGCATATCATCAAACAGTGCCTGAGCCATATTCAGTTCACCCCAATTTGTTAAACCGGTGATCATGGAATTCCAACTGACCGAGTTCCTTTCAGGCATTTCATAGAACACTCTTTTCGCCTCACCCAAACAACCACAAATGCTATACATATTCACCAAAGCTGTCTGCACGTATAGATGAAATCCAAAGCCCACTTTGAAAATGTGAGCGTGCACTTGATTTCCCTTGATGGGTTGGTGTGAGCTAGCACATGCCTTGAGCAGGAAAGAATAGGTGAAGCTATCAGCCAAGCTTGAAGAATAAGAAGATGCCAAAGTTTCTTTCATTTGTTTATAGAGTTCCAAAGCTTCCTCAGGGAAATTATCCAATGAGTACTCTCTAAGCAACATATTCCAGATCATCATCCCTGTATTATCGATTTTACATTGGTGTAACCCAGTTGTGATAAACTGAGAATGGATTTGGAGACACTGGCATCTCGTTGGCTGTTTGAGTAAGAGAGAGAGCAAGCGTTGTTGAACTGGGCCACTGTAACTTTCATCTCTAATGTGGTACGTATGGAGCTCCTTCACATATTGCCTGATGATTAAATTCTTCAAGGGTCGCTTTGTTGGAGTCATTGAGCAACTGTTGATGCTAAATAGACACGAAATGGCTCTGCTGAGCTTCATGACAGGATAAGGAAAGGAGAGGGTTATGATAGACAGAAACAATGAATGGCATTCTCCTTCTGAGTCACCAACTGAGCTGCCACATGTAAGACATCAAGGTCATGAGCATCTCTTTCTTACATAAGGTAATCCCTATGCATATCATAGAAACAATTGAAAACATACAATACTACCAATATGAGGAGTGCTTTCAGAAACTAGGTCTAATACAATGATGATTACAGTCCCGTATGAATATCATCTTACAATAATGTATATACAGAAAAAAAAAAAAACTATTTTGTATCAATCTCCAGTTCTCCACATTTCATTACCTTAAGTACACAACTTAGAATATGCATCAATAGTTACAGGATGAATGAATAGTTAGAATCTAAATAAACCTACAAAATTACTACTTCGAGCTGTTTATCGAAATGTTTCAACACAGTGAAGATTTCATTTTGAAAAGGAATTCACAAATTGCATCCTTTGAGGGCTTCAAATGCATGAGTGAATGATCCCGATTTTAACAAAGTAATCTGAGCAACCAAATGCCCATAAATATATCCAATTAATGATGATTACTGACTTATAATCAACAATATCAATATAGAACTACCATAAACATCTTAAAGCAAGGGAAACCCTACTTCCAATTTTCTAATTTAAGTTTAGAAGAGCTTGGGGAAGGGGTGGAAAAGAGTGAAGAAAAGGCCCTCTCTCTCCATCCCCCAACCCAGGTGCAGGTGGAATTTGATCCAAGGTCTCCGCTACGACCAGCAGGAGACCTTACCAACAAGCTGGTTGGCACCTTGCTCCTTTTACTTGTTTCTTTTGGTACTTTCTTTGCCTTTTCCCTCCTTTTGCTTTCATTTATTAGTTTTTTAACCTTTTCTGGAGGGATTACCATAAGATATCGCAGTGCTCACACATCCATCTTCCTTCTAGCAAGTTTGAATAAAGAATCCATATATTAGCCTGAACAATAATGCCCCAAAAGCCAATAACAAATTGACGCACAAGATAATTGTGAACTGGGAAACCGAAACTCAATCCTCATATAAGCAATTATTCAATTAAACCTCAATTTCACAAATATAGATTACAACCCTGGTAGAAAAAAAAGGATTAAGGATTACAAAACGTGTATATATGTTCTTGATGAGCCACTAAATAGTGGTATACCAATAATGTATTATAAAGCATATCCCCTACCCCCCCCCCCCCCAAAAAAAAAAAAAAGGAAAACAAAACAAAACCATAACTCAGAACTCTAACCTGAAATATCTAAGCAACGGCAATAAGTTGTTGCTTTGAAGGCTCGAGATTCTTCTTGGTATTTTGACCGGAGTCCCCAGTGAAATCTTCAATGTTATATTTGACGTTGATGTAAAGTGAACAGCTAGGACATCGAGCAATCTCTTCCCCCAATCTCAGCTCCTCTTTGGTGATTTGAAACAAATCTCCACATGGGCATGGATACGTGAAGGCCTGAAGCTCTTCCTCCCACTCCATATCTTCGATTTCCACATCATCGTAAGACATCTCAGCTCTCTTTGACCTAAGGAACAGAACAGCCAGGTAAATCAAATTGAGGAAAGATCCAAAAGAATAGGGTCTATTTAATCATTTTTCATGCATACTACCAAAGCACAGACCCTTTATTTATTGGGTAAAATGCTTAAAGCATCCCTGGGTTTTCCCAAATTGATTAATCATATCTTAACAGAAACAATGAAATGTTTATTTTATCTTTCATTATTCTTCAAAATTTCAAAATATCATTTGACACAAAAATACCTATGTCTTCTATTTGCAAAAACCCTTGGTTTAACTTGAAGATTTTAGTTCAGGAAAACCAAAGAGACTTTAAATCAAATCAAATAGTGAATCTCGTTTAGTCAGAGAATCAAGGAATTGTAACAAGTTATAAATCAAATAGTGACTTTAAACCAAAGAAACTTTAAAAGAACAATATATATTTTTTCCCAATATCTGTTAATTATGTAGTGAATCTCGTTTAACCAAATCAACTAGTTGATTCTCCGTTTAGTCAGAGAATCAAGGAATTGTAATAAGTTATAAATCAAACATTCAAACATGAAGAAAAAGACGAATGGTTCAAACAAATGTATGAGAAAACTCAAAAAAAAAAAAAAAACGTAAATTTCTGATAAGTACCTGAATGTTTTTTCTTTTCGATTTTGGCCGATGCCTCGCTGATTCCGTTCACCGCTGAATGCCTGCAACAACTCTTTGCTCAAGACTCAAGACAGTGGTTGCAGCGGAGGTTGGTCGCCATTTGTTCGTATTTCACCACCACCCAAGATGATTAAAGAGGAGAAGAAGATAAGAAGAGTCGGTTTGGTGACTAAGGGACAATGGGATTGACAGAGAAAAAAAAAACATAAAAAAAAGTGAAAAAGATGAAAGAAGATCAGAGTTGCAGAGGGAAGATGGAGGGAAAACGAAAGAGAAAGGATAAAGGGTTTTCTATTATTTTGGTTTTATACAACCCGCGAACTGTTACCCGGGTCGAACGGTTTGACGGTTCCACCGTTCGAATCAGCGGTTTTTTTAAAGAACGGGTTGGGCCTTAAACAGAACCGCTGACATGGCCGGCTGCATTTGGAGGATGTAATTGGTAATGGATATTATCTTATGGTATAACCGGAAAAGCACCCATCCCTACCTCCCTAGAGTAGAGCCTTGAGAGGGTTCCGAACGAAAGGCCACGATCGACAACTTATTCATCCAATGGCTAACAATTATTTAAATCTTCCTTATAAGTACCATGTTTATTTCAGTCCCTCTCCCATTCGTCTACTAGCTGCAAGCCTGCAACATCTCTCGCTGTTCGGAGGCTTATCTAGGGTTTCTGGTTCTGCTAGGGTTTCCGCCAAAATGGTGAGTTCAATCTGATACCTGGAAGTGTCCGTACCTTGTTTGCTACGATCTTGGTTGTTCGGTTCTGGGTTCCGTTTATTCTTTACAGATCGTTATTTGTTCTCTATTCTCTGCATCTGTGTTTTCATTAGGTTTTACAGCTTTCTATCTTTTTACATATTTTAGATTTTAGTTGGTTATAACCTTTTGAGAGAGGTTTTAATGGTGTTAGGTTCTTCCCAACGATATTGATTTGCTCAACCCTCCGGCCGAGCTTGAGAAGAGGAGGCACAAGCTCAAGCGTCTTGTGCAATCACCGAACTCATTCTTTATGGTAATCATACATATCCAAATTCGTAGATTGCCTGAAACTAATTACTATTTTGTATACATTTTCATTTATTTATATAATATTTCAATTTTCTGTTCCTCGATTATTTGGTTTTGTGGGTTGATTTCTTCCATCTTTTGCTTTAACCTTTCGAGTTATCTTTTCTCTAATTGTTCCATCTTGTTAATGCAGGACGTGAAGTGCCAAGGCTGTTTCAACATGTGAGTTCTGTAATTTGTTATCTGCTGGGTCTCTTCGTTTTGTTTTTTTTGTTTTTTTCATTTTGTAATTAGCTGGGTTATTGGTTTTGCAATTTATGGGTGTGTTGTGAATGCAGAACTACTGTTTTCAGCCATTCGCAAACCGTTGTGGTGTGTGGGAACTGTCAGACGGTATTGTGTCAGCCGACGGGAGGGCGTGCTAGACTTACCGAGGGATGCTCCTTCAGGAGGAAGGGAGACTGAGGGTGATCACTAAATGTTGCTAGAATTCGTATTGGCTTAGCATTCATTGCAAAAAGAGGCGGTTTTGGTTTTTGTTTCTATGATATAATTTTGTTAGGAGAACATTTGTGACTGAGATTACTACCGACTGTATGTTTCTTTACTTTTTTTATGGAATTTGATTTTATTTGGAACTATGTTAATATATATTGTCACAACTCCGGTTATCTTTAGTTGCCTCGTCGGTTATGGTATGATATTTGTTTACGTAATTTGTTTTCGCTACGTTATTTTGTTGAGTTTGTTTAATGTTTATATTCTGCTGCATCTTGTCTATATGTGAAAAATTAATGGAACTTCATTCACTGTTGTGCTTTTCCTCATCAAAGGTGGCCTCTATCCGAAGTGGTAGTGTTCCATATGTACGTAATAGATTGTTCTTTTCTTCTGGTATGCACCATATCAACCCTCAATCGTAAACAGTATGTGAAGCTTGATCCAAAGACAGTAACACAACAGTTTAGATTTTTACTATGTTTATATTGTTCTGGTAGTTAATCAGTGTCATCATCATCTCCACATTTGTGCAAGACTGAGATTTGAAGTTTTTTCCAATCTCGCATGTTTAATGTTCCATGGTTTCATGTGTCTTTTGAAGTTTCTGCCTATTTTGAACGATAACTTCTTTCCTACGGGTCTAGTTAATTGCATTACTATTTTTTCTCATGTTAGGAAGTGTTCATCAAAACAGTCATGGTTTGTCCATCCCGAACTCAAGTATTTTTTTATTGTAACATTAATGTAGTGTTTTTAAGCATTAGGTGTAATCGTTAATGTTTGCCTCTATTTGGTATTTGGTGACCATTTTTTGGTGTACTCTGCTGTAGCTAAAATTGACTCAAAGTTTAGTGTCATGAATGGAACTAGATTTTTCCAGCAGCAAGCCAATTGACATCTTACACCCTATAGGATCTGTTTTTAACAGTTAAAAGTGGCTGAACTGAATGGCTTATCGCTTTGTGTTGGTAGTGGTCAAAATGTTCAAGGGTGTTTAATCAACCCAACTTAAGCTTTAGCCTTTAGTCATTGAGGAGCTCACTACTTCCTGGATCTTATTCACTAGAAAGACAAACTGCTAAGCCTTTCATTTCAACTACTTCAGATGTTATAAAACACCCCATCCTTTTTTCTGTGCACAACAAATCCATTCATTTTTTCATCATGACCGGGTTGATATTGTTTACCTTTTTCTTTGCCAAGTTTTCTTTCGTGTTGCCTGTTGAGATGTCTTGTGGTATTATTTATGGGTTGAAGTGGACTTTGTATGGGTAAAATATTGTCTCATGGTGATTAGGTTTTAGTAGTTGACATTGAATTTTGAATGGGGTTGATAAGTGAGTTTTGATTATTTATGGGTTGAAGTGGACTTTGTATAGGTAAAATATTGTCTCATGGTGATTAGTTTTTAGTAGTTGACATTGAATTTTGAATGGGGTTGATAAGTGAGTTTTGATTAAAGCTTGGTAGCTACAAGTTTGTCTTTGGATTGTCTAGGTTCTTTAGCTTGCATAGAATAGAGATCCTTTTTGGATTCAAAATCTAATGGAATATCATAGAAGCTTTTTTTTTCAAGTTTCTTTACAATATTAAACAAAAAAGATGGCTTGCTGTACATTGAATCTAGGTATGTACCTCTAAGGATTTCCTTCAATGATCTAGTGTAGTCAAAATTGCTATAAAAAGGGGTGGGTTGTCGAATGTTTTCATTGGCATACCGTGCTCTTTTGCACTCTGTTTTCAATCACTAGACCAATTCTATGGTCCGATTCATCCTTGCAGTCGTTGATTATGTTTCGAAGATTCGGATTCTATACTTGTATATAATCAGCATACCCGTCTCAAGCCCCCAAATTAGTCGGGTAATGGCATGCCGTGCTCATTTTGCACTCTGTTTGCAACCAGTTAGACTGGAAAAATGTGTTCATGGTGATTATTCGCGCCAATTAGACTGGAAAATTTTGTTCACTTTTTTATTGATTGTGCTTAAACTTGTCAGTGTTTTCCTTCCCGCTAAACTGCACAGATTAATTTGTTAAGTAATCATGCTTTGAATCTTTGTATTAGATGTCTCACTTTCTACTGCGTTGATGCTTCGATGAAACAATCATGTGATATCTTAGGAAATGGAATATCTGTAGATTTTGGAGATCCTAACTCTTGATGCAATGTTCCGGTATCCAGTTTATATATAACTTAGATTTTGCCATTATGTTTCTTGCCGAATGTGTGCGTGTGGGAGAGGAGGGAGGGGGTGGGAATACCCTGCTGTGTACTGTAAACTACAATGATTGTAATGAGCATGTTGTGTTCTAAAATTTGCTCTTCTGCGTCAAAGAAAAAAAAGAAAAATAAAACTTCAGCCGGCCATGAATCGTGTCTGTTGCTATTTCCAAACAAGATCCCTCAACTATCGCTCAGACTCAAGAGTTATTATTATTATTATTATTGTTATTGTGAAAGAAATCCATTTATATATTTTCAGGATATTATCTATAATTTTTCATAATTGTTTTTTTTTTGCATTTTTCCTAAGTTCATCGCAACTTTTCATAAGCACCACAGAGCCCCCTGTCACAGTTTTTGTTGCCAAAGCTTCACTTATGAGGGTAGAGTTTTTATTAATTCTTCATTGTCATGCAAATGTCCAATTGTCCACTCATCTTTATCAAAGCCTAGTCCTCAAACTTGTAAATACCATTTTAGAGCATTTGATGGAAGATGGCACAAATAGGATGAGAGGCAATGAGGAGGTAGGGAAGCAGAAGAGCAGAATATAAGAATCCAAGTAGTGCTAGTGTATGTCTTTCCAGCATCATAGATTTTCCAGTAATCATGTCTTTCTAGCTATCATGTCTTTCCAGCATCAATCAATCTACATCTTTCTATGAGGAGGGAGAGAGAGAGCAGCACCTTTTGTTTCATTGTAGAGGACATCATGAGGCATTGAGGGGTAGTATGAGAAATCTGATCAGACCTTTAATCTATTAACAATAGGTCACTGACACGGGGGTCTTTGGAGGTTTTCAAAAGTAATGGTGAATAGAAATGTGAAAAATTCATGGTGAATTTTAGATAATATCCATAAAAGTCAGAGAGGTTTAACTAATTTACCTTTAAATTCTCTCCATTTCTTAACAAATTCATCTGACCAAAAGGAGTATAAGTTTATAGGTAAACCCTATGATGATCATTTTGACTAACTTGGCCCAGAAATTCCAAGCTTGGGCCCCCTACAAATTTATGGAACTTGGGCTTGGGCTCAATACTTCAGGTTTGGCCTGCGATATATGTTTAATTATATATATTATAAATGACACATAATATTTTATATTTGTATAAATTATAATATATGTTATACCTATGTTTTATGTATGATATAAAACATTATATACTAAATCAAATGTATTTTAATGGTTTAGGCCCAAAGCCTGGCTCAACCCAGCCCAGCCCATGATCACCTCCACTAAAGCGAAGAGTTATGAATGACTATTGAGGGATAAATAATTTATCGTTTATTCATTTAATTTTATTTATTTATTTTTAAGAAATCTTTTCGGCAAGTTTCATTACATAGTAAGGGTTTACCACATAATTGAGAAGCAACAAAGGAAATTCATTAATCTTAGTGGTACCCTTCCAAAATTTTATAGCATGTCTTGACAAGAAGTGAGAAAACAGAATTCAGATTTGATCCCAACAAGCCACTACAGCCGCACATCAAGAACATTTTGTTGATATATGGCTGCAGTGGCTTGTTGGGACATTTAGTTGGATCAGATCCAGGCTCTAAGATGACAGGGAGCTTAAAAGTTGACCAAGGAGAACTTTGCATCGGTAAAAGTAGTCATAATAAATTTTTTGTGTGTGTGTGTTTATCATGTCATTGACTTGGCCAGTTGAATTGAATAGCCAATTTGTTAGAGGAATAGCGATAGAGCAAGCGTGCCTCACACCAACATCAAAGTGCATCACAGGCATGTATTGGGAACATCTCTTATACATGATGTTATCATTCATGGGACAATATTCCCAATGCATGGCTGGGATGCGCTGTAAGGATGGTGTGATGAGCAGATCCTAACTGAGAACTAAGGGCACCCAAAGTCTCAAATCTTTACATTATTCTGTTGGAGGAGCATTCTTTTGATAAAAAAAATTGCCAATTTGAATAGCCAAGGGATCACAATGGAAAAAGCCACCAAGTAGACAAGGATGGATTGGTACGAGCAACAATTGAAATAAAGCACCGAAAATTTTCACCTGAACCCAAGATTTTTGTGGTAGCATTTAATGAATGCTATATTAATTGAAATGAAATAAATTTCCACTTGAATTCTTTTGCGTCAGCATTCAATACAATGAAAGCTATTTAGAGAAAATTGACCCACACACCAGTAAAAGAGGCAATAAAAGCAAATGTAAGGCCTTCTAGCAACCTTTTAAGGCCAATAAATTTCAATCTCTAATCTCTATCTCTCAAATAAGATTAGAAATTTTAGAATAATACAAAATATAGACTCGATTTTTTTAATGATTACAAAGTGGTCTCTAATATTTATATATGTTTCAAAATTATGCCCATAGTACATACTAAATATGTTTCAAAATAAATTCATGTCAAGCCTTAATTATATTGGTGCAAGGGCATGAGCAGGCACATGCACGTGTATAAATAAAGATAAAAGGGTGAAGAGATGAAAAGTCATTTAGGTTAAATTTAAATATTAAAATATTTGAACTACTTTTTACAAACATTGAGATTGTATCAATACTATAAAAAACATTCTGATTTAACTATTATGGACTATATGTATCGATGCAAATGAAAATATTGACCTTACATAATAATTATGATGATGACAAACAAATTCAAATTTAGGAATGTCTTTGGAAAATCCAATCCAATGCATCTTGTATATTTATATATTATGTGTATTATACTAATTGTAATTGATTTATGTATATTTATGTGTATATATATATATCTGTGTGTATCGTTTGTATATCAATTACATGCATGTATGAATATGGTATCGTATGTTTGTAAAATTGTTTATACCTGAATCTAATAAATCTACCTGATTTTATAATTTTGTTAAAAAAAACTGGTTTTATAATCGAATTGTGTTAGGGCGAGTTTGCATCTCCGCCCCACAAACGCCTCACACAACATGCGACTGCAACATGTTCAGTCACACGTGATGGGGCGTTC